CTGGCATGCTCAGTTCATGAAAAGTTGCTGTGAGATAAGCCAGCATGTGAATAGAAAGCACATCAGCTTTGCTGTGTTCAGTGGCAAATGTCACATCCCCACCAGACCCATAGCGTAAGTTAAGCTTTCTCCCTTTGAAATGAAGGTGACTGACCTCACCTTTACTGTAAGAACAAGCGTGCAGGTACACAAAGCAGGTCATGTGAAGTGAGTGCACATCCATGGTAAGGCTTTAGTGCATCTGCCTCTACATCTGTGGAATAAACTGTTGCCTATGGTTTTCCACTGTGTGGCAATTTCAGACCTTTACACATGTTCATGGTCAATCTCTCAGGTCTTCATTGAATAAGAAAATCCAGTAGTCCATTTGTTTAATCCAGATGCATGTCAGTAATTTAGCAAAATATATATTGGACCTGATCCTCACTGTTTTTCTCTGATAAAACTTCACCGATTTCATTGGAACTACATTTACTTCACATAATTGTGAGATCCTATCCAGGCCTATGGATTAGCTGTATGAATAAATAAATAAATGTAGATGGAAAACTTCAGGGATTATCTTGTATGTAGCTCAGTGCCATTCTTGTGTGTGATCTGAGCTCCTATGTACAACCACAATATGAATGCTACTATTAGTGTGTAAAACATACCCTTCTATCCTGTCCTGATTTAGAGCACAGAATCTGCAAGAGAGGGCAAACACTGCAAGTACCTCTAAAACTTTGATGATTTAGGATCAGATGCTCCTCTTACTCCCCCAGTCTAATGACAAATTGCATTAAACTGGAGGAGAGTCAAGCCCACAGACAGCCAGTGTGATCAGGAAGAGCCCAGGCAACCAAGACTGGCAGCCGTCCCATTTGCTAAGCTCTGCCAAATAGAATGGTCTCTTCTGGGCTGGACTCCTGTTAACCACAGACTCATATGCCCGAACATACAATAACCTCATCTACTTCTGCAAAAAACAGGATTTCAAAATCTGACTAATTGTCTAGCAAACTTTCATTACTTTGGGAGATTCTTTCATCTAATTATTTAGACATGCATTTATCATCTCAAGTAATCTAATTTCAACCCAGGAAATTGCTCCCACTGTAGAAACAGAAAACTGATCCAAGTGGTGTTCAGAGCAATCCCTCTGATGGGGAAAGTAAGCAAGAAAACATGTTCTTGGATCCTTACATCATACTCTTAATTGTGAGTTAACTGTTCTTTAATATATTTTATAGCAATGAATGTTACCACAGTTCACATTCTACGGAGTGGAACAACTCCATTCTCCTTAAGTATGTGTACAAGCAGTAAAGATCACATAGTCAGGACTTTACAAGAAGTCCCAGGACTACTCAACACCTAAAAAGATAAAATCTTACAAACTGCTTAACATATTGTCCTGGGTTCATGTCATGTGAATGTTTCAGTCTTTACTGTGTTCATCCCTTTTTGTGTTTCCCTACTTACCGATCCTTTTACTGCCTGGTGGCAAATCTGCTCCATTCTCTCTTCATGAAGCCTTTGCTTTTCCTCATCCTCCTGTTCACATTTCAGTTTAGCCAGCACAAAATGCCACCTCAACCTCTCAAGCTCAAGATGAATTCCTGTGACCTGCTTGTCACGGAGCCCCTCTGTACTGGTGGACTCTTCTGACTGCAAACTGCTGGTTCCTCCCGTATCCAAATATCCTACAGGACACTTGGCATCCATGCTCTGTTTCACTGTCTGAACTGAAAGACGATGTTGAAGTGCCCCTGATGGCTTTCTGCTGTAAATTGGAGAGAGGGAGGAGAAATTAATATTTAAGTTGATAGTTGAAAATAGAATATGGTCATCTAAGTCACCCTGAATATTCATTCAAGTGATTATTCACACATTTGTATAACGACTCAAGAGTTATCTAATATCCATTATTTCCCTTTAAAAACTGTGTTCCTAAAGTTGGAAATCTTGCATTGAATGTCATCTTACAAAATACGAAATAGCCACCATACAAAAATTTTCTGATTTGAAAATGTGAAGAAAATTTTGACAACATTTAAGTAGGGCCTGGCTGGTTAAAAACAAACACTGAGGCTCTTTTGACCAAGTGAAAGGATTTTACATTTTGTGAATTTCGTGTTAATCTATAAAGATGGGAGCTACTGAGGTTCTTCACCTCGGAGAATAAACTCATTCCTTGTAACCTTCCACTGCTCAGAAACACAGAGGCTGCAGAAACACAGGAAGATCCTGCACTCTGCATTCATTCTTCACTGTTGGGAAACCTCTCAGTCACCACACCTGGGTCTGAGATACTCTCTTCTCCACTGCCTTGGTTCAGTCATCCTTTACATAGCACTGGTTTTGTAAACACATTGCCAGTGCCGTGCCCAAAGAACACCATCTTGACTGAGGTTAGATTGATCATGGATACATGATAAACCTGAGTAGGGTTAGAGTATACCCATGTTACACTGACCTGAACAGGTTTTTGCGTATCTAACCCTGACTATTAAATACTCTTGAGGTTGTTTTCCTGTTAAGAGCAGAGTGCAAAGAGAATGCAGATGGAGACAAGGCTTATTTAAATAAAAGAGAGTAAGACGCATGGGGATATAAGGGTGCGTTATGCTCTGATTCTAACACCACTTGAAGGTTGATGAGATTGTACTCACTCTAACCTGACATACCATATGGTAGATGACTCTTCATCTCTTCCCAGCCAGAAATATCATCTATTGTGTGACTAAAGCAGTATTAAAAGGGTCTAGTCATATTCTCACTAGACAAAATACCTTTTACTTAGGCTGTGTTTGATATCTTTCCTTATCAGCATGGAAACTTCCAAAATCACGATTCCTCAATTATAAAGAGTGTATGTACTCACCAGTGCTTGCTGTTCTAATGCTGAGACAAACTGTGTACAACTACAGAGATGGCACAACACAGAGAAGAATGTTTCTGTCCCAGAGAGGGAGAACCACTCTAATGCAAAGCACTGGGCCCATTGCGCATGGTAGCGAACAGATCATTAAATTCTCTCGAGCATCTCCCTTCATGCTAATAAACACAACTGTCTCTGTGATAATTCATTATAGGTAAGTGTCGTGGTTTAACCCCAGACAGACAGCTTTTTCACTCACTCCCCCCCTTCTTGCCCTCCCCCTACTCCTGGAGGGACGGAGAGGAGAATCAGAAAGAATGCAACTCCCACGGGTTGAGATAAGAACAGTTCAGTAACTAAGGTGTAACACAAATCACTACTGCTACCACCAATAATAGTAATGATAAAGGAAACAACAAGGGAAGAGAATACAACACTCATCACCAGGCCGACCAAGCCAATAACTTGCCCCCCCCAGCCCGACCAAGCACTGACCGATATCTCCTCCAACCCTGCAGTCCACCTAGCCCATCCAGGAAACTCCCTTACATCCTGGGCATGACGTGCTGTGGTATGGAATACCTCTTTGGTCAGTTTTGGTCAGGTGTCCTGTCTCTGCTTCCTCCCAGCTTTCCCCCCTCCCTGGCAGAGCATGAGGCTCACGAAGTCCTTGGACAAACCAAAACATCATTTTTATCAGTGTTGTTCCCAGGCCGAAAGTTAAAACACAGCACTGCACCAGCTACCAAGGAGAAAAATGACTGCTACTGCTAAACCCAGGACATTATCCACCCCTTATTCCATACCATTCACATCATGCTCAGATCCCACATTTTCAATATACCATCACTCTTATCTAAGTGCACTCTTATCTTAGTCAATGGACCAGTCGGTATAAAGCTGCTGAGTCCACCTGGTACCAGTCCACGGCCACGTCCGTCCCGTCCTGCTGCTGGAGCCCACCCGTATTACAAGTGATTGCCATAAAGTACAGTGAGACAAGAACCTGAGCCCAAGCCCCACAGTTGATAAACACTAACACAGCAAATACCGGCTCTAAGTATGTTACAACATTCTGAAGCTCTGAGATCAAGAGGAACAACTCTGAGATCCAATAAATCAGCATTGTGACGGTCAGATCTGTCGTTATCTCAACCCCTTCGTGCCCCACGTTGGGCGCCAAAAAGAACTGTCGAGGTTTAACCAATGCCAGACAGCTTTTTACCCACTCCCCCCCTTTCTTGCCCTCCCCTTACTCCTGGAGGGACGGAGAGGAGAATCAGAAAGAATGCAACTCCCACGGGTTGAGATAAGAACAGTTTTAGTAACTAAGGTATAACACAAATCACTAATGCTAACACCAATAATAGTAATGATAAATGAAATAACAAGGGAAGAGAATACAACACCCCATCACCAGCCGACCGATAACTTGCCCCCCAGTCCGATCAAGCACCGACCGATACCTCCTCCAAACCCTGCAGTCCACCCAGCCCTTCCGGCTAACTCCCAGTTACATCCTGGGTATGACGTGCTGTGGTATGGAATACCTCTTTGGTCAGTTTGGGTCAGGTGTCCTGTCTCTGCTTCCTCCCGGCTCCCCTCCTCCCTGGCAGAGCATGAGGCCCACAAAGTCCTTGGCCAAACCAAAACATCATTGTTTTTCAGCTCTGTTCCCAGCTGAAAGTCAAAACACAGCACTGCACCAGCTACCAAGAAAGAGAAAAATGACTGCCACTGCTAAACCCAGGACAAACAGTAACCAAAGTTTCAGAACATTTAGTAGTTTATTTAAAGTCTCTTTGACCCTTTGATTGCAAAGTTGAACTGGAGATCTGAAACAGTTATCATAGCTGCTGCTTTTTTTTCACAGCCCCAGGGACTTAATGAGCAAATGGGAGGTGAGCTATTTATAACTTCTCATAAGTAGAGTAAAATAAATGTTTACATTACATCTTCCCTGGGTGTTACATGACTTCCCTTCTCTTTAAATAGTGACCACTCATACATGAAATTGTTGGCTTTTTGTTGGATAGCTGACTGGTTTGGCTTGCAGTTCTAAAAGGGATCCTTCCAAGCAACGATGCTTGTGTGTATATTTTCTTTTGCCAGTCCTGCAACCTGTGGCATGTTTTGCTATGTTTTTTAGGATAAGGAAACTGATACAGAAGAACTAAGGAAACAGCTGGCTGAGAAAGATGACTTTATAAAGGAACTGAAACAGCAGGTTAACCATGAAAGTCTTCCATCTATGGCAAAAGTACCTTTACCTGAAGAAGGACAAGATGAAATAGATCAGACTGTAAACAAAGAGGTATGGTTTGTTATGGAAAGTATGTACTAATTATAAGTTTTTAATAGATTTTGTTGTTTTCTCAATAACTTGCATACTTGAGGGGAAAACTAGTTAACTAATCCAGGTTCTAGAGAGTTGAAGACATTGTAGTGCCATTCCAGTTTGACTGTGTTCGGGGAATTTCAGCTCAAAACTTTTGTGATATTGCCTATACTGTGGTAATAGAGATGTTTCTGTAATAGGAGCTTCCAACCTATATGGGGGTTCAGAAGTACAAAACAGTATCTTGCATCCCACAGAAAACCAAAACAATATTTGAAGTTTACGCAAAGAAAATATCAACTTTGCTTATTTCCGGAAGGAAAAATTGAAAGGCTTGCAACTATACTGAGACTTCCAATTCTGACTGAACCCTTGCATGTTAACTTGAACAGTATTTAATGATACAGTTCTCCTGCTAAACTGAATTAATGCCGTGTGGCTCTATTGCTAATTAATAGTGAACAGGGCTGAAAGTGGATTTCCTATCAATCCCTCCTCTGGCTGCTAGAACATGCATTTCTCCTCTTGCTACAGAACTGGAACGCAAAATCCATCTCTTCATCTCTTTCCTGTATACTGCCAAATAAGACTGTCTGGCTAGTTTCTTGCTAGTTCATCAGTTCAGCTAATGCCATATAGATAAAGCTTGTGATGAATGAGGGAGGGCAGAGTAGCTCTCAGAAGGGTTAGTGCTTTACACGGCTTTGTAATAACAGGTAAGAGAGCACCATAAATAAGTTTGTTTTTTTTTTTTTTTGCTACTGAAGAATTGTTGTGAACATTTGGTGCTGACATATTTACCTCAAGGAAGTAGAGACAATATTTGTTCCTATGGGTAAGTGGAGGTGTCTAGGGGGATTATGATGTGAGAAACTTCTGTTGATGTTGAAGTGAATGGGGTAAAGTTTGGGGGGGGAGAAGTCAAATAATTCCTGGGAAACACATTGTGACAATAAAGAAGAAAAACTAAAATATTCAAGGGGTATGTCCCCTGCCATTTAAGAAGAGGCTAAGAAGATGGCACTCTGATTACGAGAGGTTAAGGCTACTGGAGAGTTATGGAGCTGAGGTTTACAAAATCATGGTTGTGGTGGGTAAACAAAAGCCAAAACTGTCTTTCCTAAAGTCCTGCAAGAACTGGGCAGCTGTTGAGGAAACTAATAGGAAATAATTTAAACAATTAAATAACTTATTCCTATCGGAAGCCACTAATGATCTTCTGAAAACAGGTACTATCAGCAGGGAACAGAAAAACTTGTATTTGAAATCTGTAACTATATTCACAAATGGAATTAGGCAAAGGTACATCCTTTGACCCCTCTAATGCAACAGGATTAGGCAAAGGTACATCCTTTGACCCCTCTAATGCAACAATTGAGAGTGCTGGGTGAGTATGGAGACAACAGAGGACAAGGTGGCTGGGATTACACATTTTATCCCTCAAATAACAGCATCTCCCTTTGCCACTGTCAGAGGCAGAATATTGTACTAGATGGACTGCTGGTAAGACCCAGCAGGACGTTTCTTATAATCTCTTAGCATGAATAGATTTTAGTGATTCAAAATGTCCTGTTTCCTATTGCCCAAGCAATTCTAAAAGGTTTTGGGGTTGTTTTTTTCATGGGGGTTTTTTGGGTGGTTTTTTTTTTTTTCTGTAAATCTTTCTTGATGATCAGATCATCTATTTTTGTTGCTCTTGGTAACAATAAAAGCTGCATGACATAATCATGTGAGTATATCTGATCTGAATCATGTGTTCTTGAAAACTTACCTATTGCTAAGGCTCATAAGGTGGCCGATTATTAAGCAGAGTGAGGAAGTCCTCATCAGTTGAATTTGTCTTGAATCAGTCAAACCTTGTTACTCACACAGTTAATTTCTCTAGGTGTAGAAGGGGGAGGGAAAGCTCCCTGAAAACAAGCTAGAGAAAGACTATACTTTTCTCTCAAGCTCGTATTACTGCCCAGTTCCTAAAGAGCAGCAGAGTTAACATGAGTAAAATCGTGTCAATGCTACTACTGCTAGCTGTGAAAACTGTGACTAGCTGCCTCTGCCCTTGAGGAAAATGACTTGCAAAGAATCGGGCTGAGTTCAGCAAGGAGCACTAAGTTCTGTGGTCATGCATGAAAGTGTTAACCTTTTAAAATTTAACAGAAGTTTTAGAAAATAAGAGTTGAATTCTGCTGTAGTTGAAGTAGATTTCTTTGCTTTTATTAAAAGTGTTCCAAAAGCTGACTGCTAGAAAAAGGAATGCTTGCTAAGCAACCCACTGGAGAAGGATATGTATTATAGCATTTAAGTCATAGTTATTTTAAAGCTTGTTTTCTTAAAATGTTCCTATGCTTGCAGGACCATTCTGAAATTGTGCTTGACTCATCTGAAGTGTCTACAGAAAACGGAAATACTAGTCAGTTCCCAAAACCAGAGATGAAAATCCAGTTCACACCTTTGCAGCCCAGTAAGAAGGAGGTGAAGCACCAGGGCAGCACCATACCAGTTAGAGTTAAAATGCTCAAGCCAAGAAAGAAAAGAAAAAGTGAAAAGATGGATGAGGTATGACCTAGACCAACTGACATTACGTTGTGCAGCTTTTCTCTAGTACTCTGATAATTTGTTAAAATCCTATCCTCCTGATTCTCACTGAGACCCAAAAGATATATGTAGGGTATATTTAAGCTTCTTCAAGCATCATCCTGTCCTTCCCCCTGCCTGCCAAGTGAAAGAATCTCTGGCCTGCGATGAGTAAGGTGATAGAGTTCAGTTTATCCAGAGTCTGGCCCCTTGTCTCCGATTTGCACTCTCTCTTCACCTTTTACATTTCTCTCTCCCTACAAGCACCATTTGCTTCTGCCTCCAGCTGTGATACATGTGGGATTGTAGACCAGTTCTATAGAAATTTTTCTTTTGGTTTAGACAGTTATTGATGTCAATTATAAACCCCTCTAATGGTCAATTACAAGTTAATTCTGTGCATTAAATCAGTGCATTTCAAAGTTTCAAGACCACTTCCTTCCACTTTTCCTCCAGCTTGTGTTCTCTTTGATCTTTTTGTACTTGAAGGGACTATGTACCAGCACCTGAACCTCCCTGTTTTCTGCAGGCCTTGATACCTCTTTAATTTCTTCAGTTGTACTAGATTATGTACTCCAGCCCTCTTAATGTGCTGTGGTGTTTACATGTGGGACAAAGGCTCCACAGCAGTCCAAGGTGGTAGAAATCTTCACTTCTCCTACCTGAACTGCATGGTCCATCCCTCTGCCTTCTATCAGTGCCAACACAGCTTTCTCTAAGACATTTAAGAAGGCCTTGAAACCGTAAGACCACATTGTGGTGGTACTTTAATCATACTTGTGGGGCTTATGAATCTCTATGCTTTTAAGGACTTTTGAAGCTGAAGGGTAATGTATGAGATTGTGGATGATTTGTCCAGGTAGTAAGTGGTGTTTTAGCGAGTGAACGTGTCTCAGCTGAAGAGTGAAGTGTCTGATGCTTTTCTAGCATTTCCTGCTCAATCATTCCCAAGTGATGTTTTTTAATCTCTAAATAAAATAGTTAAGATAAATAATCACTTCCATGATTACTGTGCAACGGCTTCAATAAACTCATTTTGTTAAACCTGTTAAAAGCTGTGTAAGCTAGTTCGTCTGGAATTCAACACTTCATTCTGGAAGCATGTCCAGAGCTGATTTAAGTTTCTTGTGGCTTGAACCAGTTTTCTTTTGAGAGTAGTATTTTTTCAGCTTGCTGGCAAAGTAGGTGTAAAAATTACTACCATTCTGAAGGCACTGAAAAAGTACCAAACTTTTCCTACAGGTATTTAATCTAATGTAGTTATAGAATCATAGAATAGTTGGAGTTTTTAGAGAAGATTGTTTTTCCTATTCATTTAAATCCTTTCAGTGTAGTTTGTGTTCATACCCTTATGGGAGAACATTTCGCTAAGTAACTGTTCAATAACATGAAACTAAATTTAAAAGTATCTTATTGCTGTTCTGTTCACCCAAATATGACTCTTAAATATAATTTGTTATGATAAATGGATTACAAAAGGATTCAGCAACTTTAACCGTCACGAGTCTACTGAAGACACAATTTGTTTTTAAATTGTCTGAAACAGAAAAGCATGTTGTCAGCAGTAAAAGTAAGGGCTGGGGGGGAAACCTGTGGTGCTCAACCACATACTGCTCATGTCCCTTTTTTTTTTTTTTTTTTTTATGAAGTGGTGTAGTTTGGGGTTGGGATTTTTGGGGGTTTGGGTGTGGTTTTTAAAAACCCACATCTTTTGCTGAGACTCTCGTATAATTAGGCAAAGAACAAAATTCTCTTTCTCTTCTGACAGTTGGTATGGCTATTGGTTACCTGAAATCTCTTGGCAATAATGAATGAGATGAAAGTCATCTTTTAATGACAGCTTAACACTATCATGTTAAGCTGTCAATGTCACTGACATGTTTTTATAATTGTCACTGTAAATCTGAATTTTCATTTCTATTTATTGAGTTAACTTAAATTTGTGTATTTGCTTCTCAAATGTCTTAAAGCCAGAAGTATAGGAAACAATGGAAGGAGGAAAATAATAAATGTCTGAATGGTTTGACCACAGGTATTTCTAGTTCCCTTCCACAAGTCTGTTTAGCATTTAATTCACATTTGAATAATTACTTCTATATCCAGTATTAGCCAATGGCTCCCTACTGTTAGTCACAGCACTTAAACAGTGACTGCTTCTGTAATATAAATAATTGTTGCTTTTTTCTAGAAGAATCTTAGATAAAATTTGTCATATTTATTTTCTTAGGATTTTGTGAAAAGCGAGAACAAAAGAAATGCAAAACCTGCTACGATTAATTTGCTTTCTACAAGCAACAAGAAAATGGTTTGATTTTATTCTATTTCTGAAGTTAGTTTGGCCTTTTCTGTAAAGGTGGACTTGTGAAAGGAGCAGACATATGCAGCAGTATCTTCTCTTTATCTATGTACTTGAATAGGATTCTAAACATGTTGTCTTCCTAAACTGGTCTGTATTTACCAAGAATGTGTACTAGCTGCACCGTACAATCATTCATAGGGAATGACCTTTCATATTGAATATTGAACATACTATTAATATACATAATGTTATAGGCAATGCCTTTGAAGTAAAAGCAAGGTTTATTTCACCTATACGCATGAAAATTGTGAGGATTATTTTAGGCATTAGTAGTAAACTGGGTGGGTTCAGAGGATGGGTAGTGGATACATTTTCCCCACCAGTTTTCTCTTGTTTTAGTTATAACTAGAATAGCTGGTCTAATGAAATTGCCTACAACTTTGAATCATTTTTTTTTCTTGAAGAAACTGTTTTCTATATATCTCATGCCCTTAAATGTGTTTTGTGAAACTTTGACAGTGTTTTTTAATTCTGGGTATAAAACAAGGCTGTTTATATTTTTTTGTTGTGGTAGGGTCATTAGTACAGTGAACAGAGGTGTCAGTAGGAAAACTCAGAATGTCAGCTTGAAAAAAACATTATGGTAAAATAAAACCTAATTAAACTTTAAGTCAACTTGCAATTTAAGCAATGCTCTTGTATTTTTGTACAGATGTCTACTATACAGCTTAGAAAACCATACCCCTTAAGAAAGCAAGAATCCACTTCAAGTAAAAATTCTGCTAAAAAGAAAGATGGAACGCTACAAAAAATTAGAGATTTCTTCCAAAGTTCTCCTACTATTATTCAGTCTAAAGGTTTGTACAGAACAAGTAAGTCTCATTGCATATTCTCTGGGCATTGCAGAATAGCTTTTTTCTACTGTAACCTACTAATACATATACTGTTCAATGATAAGTCTGCTTCATTAAGTTGCTGTTTTGTTTATGAAATAAAGGAGTCTGAACTGAGGCCTGCTATATTAAGTCTTGCAGAGCAGAAAAGGCTGTCTTGATTGCAAAGACCACATGATTATCAAGTTTAGGTTGTGAAAGGTAAACTGGATGGAATGAAAGGATGCAGTGTGGAATATATGCATATAAATTCATCATAAAAGACATAACTGTTAAGCTCAACATGTTGGAGTTACTTTGGTTTTGCTTACAGTAAAACCAAACAGTTAAGGGCACTTTCAGGTCCTTGTCCTGATGCTCTAAAGAGAAAAATAAAAAGCTGAATCCAGATTCTAAATCTTACCTTGCTCTATGAGCGATCCTTCCTTACCCACACCCCACCTCCCCACCACTTTGTTTCTGTGGAAACTGTATTAATGCTTTTCTTTATGTACATATATGGGAGAAAAAATTTAGTTCTACAGAACCTAAATGCTGGTGTCTTATGAAAATATTTGGAAGACTTCAATAAGCTGACTATGAAGCGATTAATGGATTTCACTAAGTTTAAGCACAGCCTTAGGAAGATTAACTGCTGGGACTTTCTACTAAAGAACATGTTATTCTTTCCTGTATTAAAACAGAATTTCTGAGTTACTGTGTTTAAAACAAAAATAAAATTAGCAGTGGGCACAAGGAATTGCCTGTGTTGAATTCTAAAAGACACAATCGTTTGGTTAAAACCAGATCAGTTGTTATTTGGTGTGGCTGGTTAAAATTAAGATCTCTATACCAACTGAAAAACTTGACTTGCTACAGAGGACATCTTGCCTGCTCTAAGAAAGTCTAGATGACGATAGTGGGATTTTTAAAACATTCCAGGCTTGTCAGATTTGGCTCCATGAGGACAACATTGTCATCAATGTAAGCCAAATTCAGGTTACTCAAAATTTCACCCTGAAAATACTTAATTTGGGCAAATGAGGTCTAGTTTGTAACCTTTATTATGTTCTGTATTTTTCTCTTTCATGTAACCTGCTATTGTTCAGGATGTCTTCTTTTCTAGCTCATAATATGCACACAGTCATCTCTTTATAGAACTAGTCCTGCCTTGGTAAAACTACAGAAATATCTAGAGAAAATTGACTCTGCCCTGTGCTCCTGTCAGCACAAAGAAGTGTTAAGCCTGTTGTTCAACTTCTTTGGAATTGTTTATTTTCCAGTGAAATCTGACTCCTGATTGATTTTAAAGAACACTTTAAAATAGCACATTAAAGCTTTTGCACCTGAAGCCATGAAAACCTTCTTCCAGCCACAGAAAACTGTGGTAGTCAAATACCACATTTGAATTTTTATATTTAAACTTCAGACAATATCTCTTTAATTTGTAAGTTGTTTTTAGTAAAGCTTGCTTTATTCATTAGTTTTGAGGTTTACAAACACAGTAAGACATTGATTTATGATTAAATATTTTCATCTAGCAAAGAAGCTGATTGCAACAATAAGCTCTCCTAATTCTGCAGAACCAGAAAGCCTAAAAGAAAATAAGCGGAAGCCAAAACGAGCTAAGAGAAAACTGTATTCAACTGACATTTCTTGCCCTCTAGATATCCCTGCTTCTTCGGTGAGTGATTACAGGTTACTGTTCTGTCCACTGTGATCTACTTCTGTAATTGTGATTTAAAGTAGGCTATTAGGGGGACAGAACAAATCGGAAGGTCTAATCAAGTTGCAGAAGAAGTTTGAAAATACTTATTTATTTCTTGATTCTACCTAGCCATTGCTTTTGGCCTTTTCTTTCTGCTGTTTTACTTTCTCTGTCTTCTCACCTGTCCATAGATTTGAAATAGCATAATTGAAATACTAAAGCTACAAAAGTCTGCAAGTACAATTAACTTTGCAGGGCAAGTGAGCACCAAAGGTAACTTCCAATTCCATTTATGCCCAGCTGATATTTGTTACTGTAGGATAATGGTACATCCATGCTTTTCAAAGCACAGTTTAGATAGCCTTCTGTGTGTGCTTAAGTTGTGTTGCCCTAAGTCAGCCTAGAACAAGTCTTCTAGGCCAGAGCTTGATTTATGACTTCTGAAATCCACGTAGATGGTTTTGGCAGTAACTACGGTTGCCCATAGTGAGATATGTATGCTATTGAATTTTCTGTAAATAGCATGAATAGCAGAAATGAAAATGTTTTTCACAGGAGGGTGAAGAAAATGACAAATGCAAAGCAAAAGAAGCTAAGAAGCTTGGAAGTAAAAGGGAAAATGACAGGGAATTGCAAAATTTAAATGACACATTCCAGGAAAGCAGAGGTAGCTATAGGAAACTGAGATAAAAATATGTTTTCTGAACACTTCCTGTTTCACAAAATGAGTATTAGAGTTTAGAAGTGAGAGCTGGTTTCAGGTCACATTTTGCTTTGGACTTTGGTATCTGTTTCAGCAACAAAAAAAAAAAAAAAGTCATTTTGTATGTCCCTGGTATTTGTCACTTACTCTGATGCAATAAAAGAGTTTTTCAGTACCGGGGACCTCTGGCTAAAAGATAATAAGGAAATTTCATCCTGAAAACAACTTCTGGGGAAAAAACAGGCTGCTGATAACATGGGTCTAGAAGTGCGTGTAATTTGTCTCTGAAGAAATGCTGAGTAACCCTTGAAATATAATCTCTTTCAGATTCTTACAGAACAAAAACAGAAGGAAAGCGATCATCTAATCATCAAGCGATGGCTTCGATCAAAACAAGCTAAATAATCTTGCAACAGCATGTTTCTATTTCTTTGGTTAGGTCATATTTCTATTGTATCATTTCAGTTGATTGTACATGGGAAGTAATCAATACTTCATTATGCTCTGAAGTGTGTATATAGATGTGTAGAATTGTTCTGATGTCATTAATTTTTTACTTCATTAAAACTGAAATGCTGTTCAAAAAAGCTTGTGTCTGAGTCCATTTTTTATTTTTTTTAAGGAATGGTGTCCTTGGAAGTGTTCATAATTTACCCATTGTGCAGGAAGTACTATGCCTGTGCGAAATGGTTGCCAGTATATTTACGATTAGAAAAAATTGACTACACACTAAAACTTGTATATGGCTTTCTTTACTCTTCTCCAGTAGATTGTCTGAGCATGAAATGTCTCATTGTAAGGATAACACATAGTTCAGTTCTGTAGATCCTGATTTGCAAGATCAGATTCTCATACTAAGTTGCTTCTCCAGTTTCTTGACTGTGAAATGGAGTAGTACCCTTACACTCTTCCATGGTTTGTTTTTTTTCTAACTTGACAGTGACAAAGTGAGCCTGATTCACAAATCTTTCACCTCTTCCATTTCTTCAACTTTTTGTTTCAACTTCTGTTTGTGTGAGTGTGAACTCAGATTTCCTTTTTGTTAGCTCATGTTTGGTATTGCCATTTTCTTCCCTCTTTTCATTCTAACAGAAAAATGTAAAATCCAGGTATGGTCAGATAATTTTAAATAAAAATAAATGCAGTGTCACTTAATAACTCTTTACAGGTAGGATTTTATACTTTGAATACTTTGTCTTTCTCCAGATCTCCTGTCTTCTGCTATCTGTAGCCCAGATACCTGAACTGATCTCTTTCAGGGCTCTAGAAGACACCAGTGAAGATTGTTACCTGATGCAGATGCAAGTTGTTCACTTTACAGAAATCCTTTATAGATGGAGGCAGGGAATGTGCAAGGTGAAGGTGGCCCTGGCCATTGCAGGAGGACTGGAACTAGCTGATCTTGAAGATCCCTTCCAACCTGAACCATCCTGTGCTTCTATGATAAAACAGTCTTAAACAATGGGACAGTACTTGGGATATTTATTTTTTGCATTAACATTTTATCTGGGGTTTTTCCCATTTTTAACAGATGTTCTTTTTCAGTCAGCTTCAATCTTGATCCTTAACTTTTTTTCTGAGTAGTTTCAGTTAATTTTAGAACCCATCAGCATGTGCCTGTTTAGCTGGATTGATCCTTCGGTTGTGTACAACCTTGCACTTGCCTGCAGTGAAATACATATGCTATCATGTTGCCTTGAATGACAGGTTGATTGCTTCTCGTTAAATCATCAAATGGCCTTACAGCTCTTATTTAACAAGAAAACATGCAAGGTAAATGGAGTATTAGAAGAGCACTGAATTACTTGATCATTGCCTATATGATTTCTTTATTGATCTAAATGTGTGGAAAGTAATAGAAGTATCTTCAGCTATTTCATGTAACTGAAATTGCTGATAGTGTTTATTCTCCTTGTCAAATATACAGTTTCATAGTTTCAACTGCTAGGTGCTTCTTCCTGATTTCATGGTTAACTAAGTGACAAAACTGCTTCGATTACTCTGGTAAATTGCAATTTATCTGTGCAGCTAACTAGGAAGTAGAGTCCCTCAGTATAGTCAAGTCACTGACATTTAGGAATGCTACTGCACTTGAGCTGTATTGCCAATTTTTCTAAGCTCTTATATTTACTAAAATTTCGTCAGTGTTGCTGAGCTATCTAAAGGCTATGAAAACTGTTTTTTTTTCTGGAAGCCATTTAAATGGGTGTCTTCATTATAACCTGAGCATGAGAGTAGCTATATATACATGCATGAAATTGAGCTTGTTCATTTTTTGTCCTTAAATTAGCCTTTGCATTTGGAAGAGCCATACTGAATTAACTTCCTTCGTAGGTGTAGACTTGGTTATCAAACTCCATGGCTACACATTTTTAATACAGAAATAAAGCATGTTCCCATCTGTTTTGATCAAGGGACTGTGATTTCTGTACTTCCTGCAGTTGAAGTTTGAGCCTATATATGCTGGTAGCCTAGGGAATGGGTCATACTTTATGTACCTCCTTTCTTCATGTCAGGATTTCCAGTTATTTCCTGAGCAGAAAGGGAATAAAAATATAATCCAAGAAAGGAGCATATTCACTTCTTCAGAAAGAATGGAGTAATGGGATTACTTTTTTTGTCCTCCTAGTTGAGACTGGGGCTAGCTCTGTATTGTTCTTTTATCAGCTCCTCTGAAGAACAAACGTGTTTTAGGACCTTATGTCTTTTTGCCTTCTGATTCTTCCTGATAAGTACCATAGCTAACTCAAATCTGAGCATAACTCCTATTTATTTTACCTTATGCTTTAGTGTAAGGTTCATCAATTAACTTGCAGATCAGAGAATGGTTTTTGTCTGTTAATGGAGATGTCAATTCTTTACCTAGCAAAGTCTAAGATAAGCATGATTTAATGGAAATTTGGTCTATATTTTGACATGAAGATATCTGGTAATACTGAAATTGTCCATGGTCTCTTCAGAACTTACTTGGCTGTAGGAAGGTGTGATGCGTGTATTACTGTGCATCACTGGCTGAAGGGGGTAAGAGTTTCTATATGTAAAACTGGGTCATGTAGTCCTGATGTCTTAAGACACTTGGATCACACAAAGGAAAATTTCTTGGGGATAGGCACAATGATTTCCACTGTTTTGTGCTCCAGTCCTCCCTCCAGCCCCCCAAATCTGAATAAATCTAGTTTCTGTACTAGATTCAGGAAGAGGGCAACCTTACTCAGTCTATTCTATACATTGAAAACTTCTGATACTTAAAAATGAAGCTTCCTTTTCATCAAGAGAATAAGCTTAGGTCCTTATAACTTTAATAACAGACTTTTAAGACATGGCCTCCTTTCTTTTAAGGTATGGCCTTGCTTCTCTAGTGTATTGTTTTCTTACATGAGGAAGGAGGCTTTTTTGTAATATGAAACAGTTGATTTCTGGTTTAACACCTGAATCCTGCAAACTGCCTTGTACAGCAACGCCACTGTCTTTGAATAGTTCATTTTGAATGTGTCATGCTGCGAGGCGTAATTCTTAGAAAATAGCCTGTGCTGTACCTGTGTCAAGCTAACCCAACTTTTCCAATGGTTAACGCTCATCTTGAAAAGACTATTCCTTCCTCAACTTCAGGTCATTTGGGGTGAACGCTTTCCTTTGTCATCCTCATGACGCTCCACCTACAGACCTAATGAAGGCTTCTGGAAGGAAAACGTGAGGGTGTTACTTCATACAGGTCAAGCTTTTCTCTTTGGCAAAACTAAACAAAGAGCAAGAGTGGCACTATCTGATCAGCCAGCCCATGAATTGGGGGTAACTCAGGAGTTGAAGTGAGAAAAGAGAGCAGAATATTTGGGGGGTGATTTTTCTGTAAGTGATGCAAGTACTTGAATGTTCTTGAAACTTGATTCGTGCTGTGAGAGAAGAAAAATAGAAGTACTTGAATGAAACGTGCTTGCTTTGGTCTCTACAAAGCCAGTTAAGGTGTGTTGCCAGCGCCAGCAAAACTCCCAGGAGATGGCCTTGGGACACTGCCCAAGATGGCAAGTCTCGCCACTGAGAACTTCAGCTGCTAGGCTTGGAGGGACAGAAGTGATCTACTTTGTTTTAAACTAATCCACTTTTCATCCCATTTAGCCAAGCTTCATAAAAAGTTCAGAATGGAGCATTGCTGGACTATTTTCTTGGAAAAATCCCAGTTCTCCAGATCTTTTTTCCTGCTACAATGATGTTACCGATGCACAGGAGCAATCAGCATATAGCCCTGTCACAGATGATTTTGTTTCTCAGATCAGGATTCTGAGAAGTAGTATTGGTTTATATGCACTGATGTCTACTATGAACTGTTCATAAATTTCTGCACCCTAACATTTCACAAGAGTGTGTTTTTCTTTTCTAACAAAGATAAAGGATACTCCCATTGAAAAATTTACTAGGCAGAGATGGGGTTCCTCCCAGAGCTGGGGTTAGGGTTAGGTGTTAAAGTTATGGTTAGGGTTAGTGAGTTAGGGTTAGGGTTTAGGGTTAGGGTTCGGGTTAATGAGGGTTAGGGTTAGATTTAGGATTAGGGTTAGGGAGTTAGGGTTAGGGAGTTAGTGTTAGGGAGTTAGGGTTAGTGGGTTAGGGTTAGGGGGTTAGGGTTAGGGGTTAGGTTTCTGGTTCAGGGTTAGTGTAAAAGGTTAGTGTTAGGGTTACGTTTAGGGTTAGGGATAGGGTTAGGGGTTAGGGTTAAGGTTTAGGGTTAGGTGTTACGTTAGGGTTTAGGGTTAAGTTTAGGGTTTACGGTTTAGGGTTAGGGTTAGGATTAGCATTAGGGGTTAGGGTTGGGGGTTGGTGTTAGGGTTAGGGGTTAGTGTTAGGGGTTAGTGTTAGGGTTAGTGGTTAGTGTTAGTGTTAGGTTTTGCGTTAGGGGTTAGGGTTAAGGTTTAGGGTTAGGTGTTAGGTTAGGGTTTAGGTTTAAGTTTAGGGTTTACAGTTTAGGGTTAGGGTTACGTATTAGGGTTTAGGGTTAGGGTTAGTGGTTAGGGTAGGGTTAGTGGTTAGGTTTAGGGGTAGGTTAGGTTTAGGTTTTAGGCTTAGGGTTATGGTAAGATGTTACGCTTAGGGTTTAGGTTTAGGGTTAGGTATTAGGGTTAGGATTAGGGGGTCAGTGTTAGGGGTTTAGGTTTTGGTCAGGGTTAGGTGTTAGTTTTGTGGTTAGGGTTACGGGTTTCGGGGTAGATTTAGGGTTATTATTAGGGTTTGGGTTTAGCCTTAATTGTTAGTGTTAGGGTTATGGGGTTATGGGTATGGGGTTAGGGTTAGGTGTTAAGAGTAAGTCTGAGGGATAATTTTAGGGGTTAGCGTTACGGGTTAGGTTTAGGGTTTTGGGTTATGGGTAGGGGTAGGGGTAGGGTTAGGGGGTTAGTGTTAGTGTTAGATTTAGAGGGGTAGTCGTTAGAGTTATGGTTAAGTTTAGGGTTTAGGGTGTAAGGTTAGGTTTAGGGGTTAGGGTTAGTGTTATGGTTATGTTTAGGGGGCTAGGGTTTTGGGGGTTCGGGTTATGATTAGGGTTAGGAGTTTAGTGGGCAGAGTTTTGGTTACGGTTTAGGGTTATGGTTAGGGTGAGTGT